TTAATAATATATTTATTTATTTTTATTATATTTATTTATTTTTATTTAATATTTGTATTTCAACAATCATTATAAACGAATAATAAACAGATAACTTAACGTAAGAAGTATTATTTATAATACTGCTGAAAATGTTCACTGAATATTATAAAGATGTAGCGGTCATATTGTCTACTAGACTTGACCACTACAGTAATAAGTTAGTTGTTTAGTTAAACAATAGAAAATGAACAGTGATAATTTAAAAGAATAAAATAATTATTAGACTACAACCGTAGCGTCAAAACCGAAGGCTGGAACTTGACATCTTGTAAACTCGCTTGGCGGCAGGTGCTTGAGCTCGCCAATAGAGGCGTTGCTGTTATCTGGGCGAAGATTGACATCTCATTCTTGAAAGGTGCTGTTGCAGCGTGAATGCAGCCACAAAGATTGAAAAACAGCGACATCTATTGGCGAACAAGTTAGAAGTTGGGTTGCAGAAGTGTTTGTTCCAATTCTCGTTGTTATAATTAAATTCAATATGAGGTTTTTAAAATAAGTATTCTATGTTGTAAACTTACTTGTATTTTTTTAATTTTTTTCAAATGCATGTGTTGCTCTTTCAGATCTGCCTGCATGAAGCTGCAAAAATGCAAATATTATACTAGTTTTGAACTTAAAGAGTTACCTTTATTACAAAAATTCTATTTGAAAAATAAAAGAAATTTGTACGAATCATATAATCAAATAAGTTCTAAAATTCGCCTTTATCATGTGGCGAATACAAAAACTAGAATACGTACTGTTTTAATTCTCAAAAGTTCGGGAGAATTTAATTTTCGAATCAAGTTCGAGTTACACACAAAGTACAATAAAAATTATTATGATGATGATGAAAAGTGCAAAATAAAAAATACAAATGTCTAATTACCAATTTATTCGTTGAAGGCTGGATCAAGACTCTCGTCTCTCATATTTACAAACAAATATATAATTTAAGATGAGTGGTTGTGTGGGGATAAGGAGGGTGGAAAGGGTGAGTGGTGGAACAACAGTATGTATTGTACATATGTATCTGTACATAAGCGATTACAAATTTACAAGAATCTATTGCACGAAGACATAAATAGGTAAAGATAAGGCAGGACAATAGAACCAGAATAAAATGTAAATTTGGGAGTATTGAATCGTATGTCCTGCTGTGTTCAAGTAGAAGAAAGCAATTGTAATTTCATTTTAATGACAGGAAAGTTTGCTATTAGAAAAACCTAATTTCCTGTGATACAAACATCTGTTGTGATCCTGAAAGCCTATACAAACAGATTACCTGACTATCGTCTATAATGATAATTTGCTAAATTCAAATATTGATATGATCTGAACATTCTGCCCACCTTGAAAGGTACTTTAAATAAAAAGAAAATTTTAGAAACTAGTGAAATAAAGCCTAAATATATGATGCATAACAATTCAGATTACTGTTTAATCAGAAGAATTAACATTATATTCTATTGGAAGAATACAAATCTTTGTCACGGGTCTTTTCAGCACACTATCTGCGGTCTGTACAGATACGACTCTGGTGATTCCATCATTTCCTGGAAAGGTCTCAAGAATAGGTCCCATCTTCCATTTGAGAGGTGGAAGGTTATCTTCACGAAGTATTACCAACATTCCAGGTTTGATTGGAGTAGTTCGAGAGATGCACCATCGTTTCCGTTGTTGCAGTTGGTATAAATACTCTTTTTGCCAACGCTTCCAGAAATGCTGAACCATTTGAAGCATGTGTTGGTATCGGTTAAGTCGATTTGTAGGAATAGTAGTTACGTCCATTTGAGGTGGAGCTGTTATCGGACATCCAGTTAGAAAATGGCCTGGAGTAAGTAGAATCAGGTCGTTGGGATCATCCGAAAGAGGAGAAAGACGTCGAGAGTTCAGACACGCTTCGACCTTGGTTAACCGGGATAACGACGAATACCTTTGTAGCAGTCCGAAATCGTTGTTTGTTGAAATTAGTACAACTGGTTGGGTTCTGGCTTCTGTCTCAATGATTGATGGATTTTCAATTATGTCCTGATGTTGAGGCCAATCTCGAATTACAGTTCGTGATAGTGTGTCACTGTTGTTTTTAAGCAATTCGCAAAGTTCTCGTACGCAGCGGGTGGCTAGATACGGCGCTGACGCAGTCCCATAGGTCATTGTGTTGAGTACGTAATGTTTGATTGGGCATGAGGGTGTACGCCGCCACAAAATCCTTTGGTATCGTCGATCGTCTGGAGGGACCAATACTTGTCGGTACATTTTTGCAATGTCTCCCGACAGGACGTAGCGATGTTTCCTAAAACGAAGGAGAATAGAGAATAAATCGTCTTGGACGGTTGGGTCAACTAGTTGAATGTCGTTCAGGGAAATTCCTGTGTCCGATTTTGACGATCCGTCAAAAACCACGCGTAACTTTGTCGTGCTGCTGTCTATCTTTGTGACGGCATGATGAGGTAGATAGTATCCTGCTGTTGCCATCGCCGTAATATCCGAAATCTCAGACATGTGTCCAAGCTGTTAGTATTCGTCCAGGAAGGCTACATACTGGTCACGAAGTTCTTTGTTCCTGGAGAGTTGTCGTTCAAGGGATAGCAGCCGTTTTTCAGCGATCAATCGATATTCACCTAATTTTCTTGTGTCCTCCTTGAATGGAATTCTGACCACGAAACGTCCCTCACTGTTTCGTGTCGTTGAACTGCCAAAGTGTTGCTCACAGCGGTTCCGTTCGTTGATAGCAAGAGTGCTGTGGGTTTCTTCACAGCCTTCAAATTTAGCAATGTCCTCGTTGAGTTGTTGGTTGGTGACAAGATGGCAAGATGTTTTTGGTAGCTCTGGGATAAGCTGCCTAGATAGCGGTCCGGTTATCACCCATCCCAACTGAGTTTTCTGGATTGTCGGTTGTTCAGGTCCCAATTTAAATTGTCCAATGCACAGTAGCTCCCAGAATATCTCTGCGCCGATCAGCATGTCAATTGGTCCAGTTTCCCCGAAAGAGGGATCTGCTAGCGGAAGTTCTGATGGAAACAACGCTTGGTCCAATGGAAGACTAGGGAGGTTGCCTGTGATTTTTGGCAGAATTAAGCATGATAACATAGCTTTGAACCTAGAACATCGAGATAACATGTTAACGTGCATGCGATATTTTATAGATTGCTCGGATTGCTGGATTCCACAGATGGTGATGTTCATACGTTCTACCGGTATCTGGTTTAAGGAGCATTGTTTTGACATACTTATTAGGAAGGTAATGCTTAATCCACAACACTTGTGAGAGATAAAGATCATAGACATTATTGATATAAAAATGCGTATTATATCACTTTAAATACTATTTAATGTGCATCATGCACTTACTCGCTTCAATTTCGCCGGCTGCTGTTGTGACGTTTGAGGTGGGCGGTTGGGGTGTATGCTGGTCTGTAATTCAGGACCGCGTCGGTGAAACACGACGCAGTTGGTGAACATAGCTTCTATTTTAATGATTATTTAGAACAAAGTACGGCAATTTACATAAGTCCCTCTGCCTCGAAATCAAGCAAATAATACATAATTAATTCAAACCGGTTTTTAATATCAATTTTCAAGCGTATGATTGACAGAAAGCACCAATATATAAATTATGTACAGGACACGTCTAGAGGTGAAAATGAATATTTTTATCGATAACGATTAGGATTTGACTCAAGTCACGCTATACCACCTTCTTGTTTGAAGTACCTATTACCAGCACATACATCTAAATAGCTGACGTTCCTATACTATTATACAAAATCGTTTAAGTAAGAATAGCTTTTATATGACTCCCAAATACCACTTTTTGTTACAATCATTTGTTGCGATGGAAAAATTTGTTAAGTATTCACTACTTGCATAGTAAATGATATTTATCATGAATTTTGCTCAATTTTTTTTGTTAGAACATATGAAAATTTTCATCGTAAATAGCCTTAATAAAATAATTTCATTTTGTTACTACCACTTCGAAATCGGTAGCACTACTCCTAAGCGCCTGCCGAATTTTAATTTTAACGCAGAGAGTATCCGCCTTAAGGAAATAACACCGTGTAATAACCCCTGACATATATGCGGAGAAAATACTATTTGCAATTATGAAATAATAAGGTGGTAAAAGAAGATGGTGGTTAAATATAATCCACTGGATGCCCTTTTTACATGTTAATATCTTTTATATCTGCATTAAGCACCTTTCTCTTTTTTTAATGTAAAACTGACAAAATAAAGTCTAGTGTATGCGTATGTGCAAGTGTACCAGCCTATCTCTTAATAAATCCTTACTTTGTCGGCGCATTCCGATAGAAAAGAAAATAATGACATATGTACATACATTGAAAGTAAATTGAAGCAGAGGAGCTGTATTACCTGATCTGGCTTTATTTATTGATTTTGATTAGTCTTTGCAGTTGCTTAAATTCTATATGTAGGTATTTACTCCTCTGCGGACTATACTGATGTGAGATATTGATTTGTGTACATATATGTATGTGTATTAATATGTCATAATATTTTGAATTAATGGATTCTGTACTTATTAAATTGGTTAATGCAGATATGATAATAAACTCCAATAGGAAATTATACTTGGTTAAGTCTATTTAAAATTAGTCAGCAGTAGGTATCTATAACCACAAGGATATGTTGCCTTAAGCATTTAGCAAACAAATTAACGAGCATCTTATTAAGATTGCAAGCGCTTTTAATTCCTATTTGTAATGCTACGCACTCTGAACCATAGATAAAATTGCATGTTTGAAACTGTAAAGAATTGAGCTTTACAGAATTTTGCAAAACCTTTCATACCTTTTGTTTGTTTTCAATTTAATTCTGTTAGATGCGAAATATGACAGCTGGTATAAACTTATTATTGCGATTTAAAAGAAACCATTAACATTTCTTCAAAACTTGATGGCGCTCCATGAACACTAAAGGTAGTTTTCACTATCCCGGTTTTGGTTTGAAAGTAGAGATCTACAATAATGAAAGTGGAATCACTTAGTGAGGAACTTAAAAAAAACCCTTTTCGAAAACTTTATGAAGAGTTACTTCCCCTCTTAAATCCTTTCAAAATTCTCGCCACTCTTTATTTCATTAATCTTCTTAGTTCAGCTTGCGCACTCTGTTTATAATCCATCCAATGCGTGTTGGACATCTCAGGAAAATCCGATAAAAAAAATGAACTTAAAGTCAGGAAAACGGAAAAAATTGAAAAGGTGGTCACGACGAAACATGGACTTTGGGAATAAAAATTATTAGAATCATTATTTTGCTTAAATAATATTAGTTGCGGGTTTCTATCTGTGTTTTATAAAAAAGGGGCGTTGAGTGTTGGGTTGGAACTGAGCGACGAAATCGACAATAAAGGTGGGTTCTGCCTGTTCTTATTCTCTTTGTTGTACTTCATGAGTTGCTTTTTGTGAAACTATTTTACAGTTTTGTACAATATTGTCGGTATGTAATGATTGCACCTTATTGTGTAGATTTAGCTTACATATAATTATATTTTTGTGACGTCAATCTCAAACACGCTTATCATTAGTCCATTCTGGTTATTTTATAAACTAAACAGAAGGATCATATCCCATGACTAATTAAATTGTTTCCTTAT